AGCAACTAAAGATGAAAAACGCATGAATGGCGTGTCACATATCCAACGACTTCGAGGAGAAGAGATACTTCGCCAAAAAAAAGAAATACGTACCCAAAACTGTATTGTTTTCATAGGTCTCGTAGATTCTACGTTTCTTTTTGATGGGTTTATGCCCAATATTGAAAACGTCCCTCTTCAGAGCAATCGATTTGAATCGTTTTTTTTCCCAATCTGACACATCTTCATAGGTAAAGATTTCGATGGCTTTGTCAGGGTCTGCAGCATCCACACTTTTCAAGGCTGGAAGGCCAATGGACTCCATACCATAGTTATTGGCAATTTGTAAGACTGGTTCTAGAAAAAAAAACTTCTAAGATGAACAATCCTTGTTATGAAAGATGGTATTAGATAGTTTTTGGAATTTACCCTCAGATTCAGGATACGAAATTTCCTCCAAGTTGTTTAAAAACGATATGTTCTTGAAACCTGTGTTATGCTGGAAGATAAGGGCACCATGTTCGATCTTTTCAATCCTGTTCAGCTCCTCTAACCCCGCAAAGCCTTCTAAAAGTCCTAGTTTGCATGTCAGTTTACTCAATCTTAGCTATTTATAACGGACTATAACACGAAAAACTCAAAGTACAGAGTGCGTTCACTATAGAAATTAAAAAAAAAACTCACCATTAAAACCCATAATCATTAAATTGCCAATGATTACACGACAATCCTTCAGATTGCTGAATTCTTGCAGGAACCAATGGTCTACGACTCCTCCCTCACATGACTTCACTGCAAACTAACGGGAACTTATATTTGAAAAACTTATTGACCAATTTTCATAGCAAGAAAATCTCACAACAACTTTTGTCAAAAAGCACATCCTTCTGAGCTAATTGTTTAACTTTATTTCGCAATTCAATAGGAGCACATATTTTATCATTGTCCGAAATTTCCAATAATGGCTCTCGTCCACTAATTTTTATGGAAAGTAATCCACTGATATCAACGAGATTCGCATTATTGCTAATGACTATAGCAGGAGCTGAAAAAATTAGTTGTTTAAAATATAAGTAAGAGATAGAAAAAGAATCTCACATACTTCCATGCGCAATGACTGTTACATTCTCAAGTGCCAATAAATTTATGTCATCCCTATCCTCAAAAATCAACATTCCATGAATTTCTACCGGTGGATCGCGTTTAAACGCTTCAAGTAGATAGTCTTCGTAAGTAACATCGCCAACAATACGCTTGCACTGTTGTTCTGTCAGAACTTGCTCCTGAAGGCAGTCTGGAATACGAATAGATTATACTTTCGAAGTTCCTCAGTCGCATTTTTGCTGAAAACTAGGAAAATCACTTTTGAAGCTGCTGTTTTGATCGTTTTGCTGCTATTTGTTGAGTTTAACAAAAAAATGTACCAAAAAACGACAATTTTGATGTTTTTGCGGGCAAGATTCGAAAATTTTTCACAGAAAATATTCACAACGAAGCAAATTTAGTGACTTACATAGAGTTAAAAACTATGTTACAATCATTTACAAAGAGTTATAGTTGTTCGAATAATACTACGCTGCGCAACAATGAATACATCCATTTTGCATAAATCTACAATCATTTTTCGGAAAGAAACCTATTCAGAGTTAAAGGATATCAGGTCAATGTCGCATCGGAGCTCATAGTAATAAAGAACATACCAGTTCTCCTCTTCTTGATTATAGTCAATTCTGTGAGTATAACATGGTCAGGAGAAAAGGCAGATACAAAAAAAAAATTTGTGTACAGTATCATACATTGTATTTGAATCTTTTTAGGAATTCCCTCCTATCTCTGACTAGATGGTCAATTTTAAGCAGGCAAGATTGAACAATTCTTTTTCAGTTGAAAAACAACACATATGTGGGGCTAATTTCGTTAGAAAGACTAAGTAAGGAAAAATTTCCTAGTTTTTTCTAGGAAATCTTTTGCAGATCTTAAATAAAGATTTGAATTTGGCGTTCAAGCTGCATCTAGTGTTTACTCCTATAGAGAATTTCACGTCAACCCGACATTATATCCTGAGCAAAATTTGACAATCAAGTTGTACCTCCGTCCGTTGGTGAAAAGTCAAAAATCGTGTCATTCACTGAAGTCCCATTATGTTCCAAAAGAGGATTTACACTTATAAAAACTTTCTGCAAAATATACATTAAAAAAACTAGAGTATCTTATGAAATCTTACATCTGATTGTATACTGAAATCCTTATGAAATGTGATCGATTTGAGTTTTTGGTTTCCTATAATTCTTAGAGCATAGTCCAAGTCTGGAATACATGTTTCTATGATATTTTGAAAACCTCTAGAAACATGTGAAAGGACCACAGAAATTTTCATCGTGGACAATTTCTTTGAGTTGGGGAAAATTTGCATGTACCAGATTGGATCGATATATCGTTACGCATCCAGTAATCTTTTCAATAACCTTAAATTAAAATGTGGAGAAACTAGAACAAATCCAGTATTAGTTCCTTAAGAAGTTTACTTGAACTTTTTCGTAGATGTGATGCGCCTCCTCAGAAAATTGCATATGACCGAAAAAGTGTATGCAGGGAAGATCTTCAAACTCAGTTTCGAAATCGGACTGCATCGTGTGATGCATTAAACACGCTGGATAACTTTTGGGAAATACGGTTGAATGAATGTTTATGCAAAATGTATGAAAGTAAATGTACAATAATTCACCTTTTTCTTCTTTATTATATATGTAGTAGTCATCTA